AAGTGTCCAACTCTTGGTTTTGGCTCAAGTTGTGATCTCAGCATCATGAGATCAAGCCTTGCATCCAGGTCTGTGCTCAGCACAGAGTCTGTCTGAATTTCTCTCTCCCTCTGCTCCCCGCCCTGCCCCCCACACACACTCTCTCTTTCTCTCAAATAAATAAATAAATCTTTATTATTTTTTTTAAAGTACAGAGTGGCTTTCTGCAATTTCTACTACTGTCAAAGTAAAGTAAAAATGATCACCTATGCCCAGTGGTGATAAAGGTAACTATTAGATAAAACCATAAACGAGTCCCACTGCCCTGCACTGCTCAAGCATCCAGTTCCTCTGCTAGAGCTACTCAGCAACTGCAGTGTTTGAACTCCCTAAACCTACTGCTGCAGAAGGGAAAGAAGAGAAAAACTAAGGAGAAACTAACAAGAAAGTTTTAGGAATACTACTTCTCTGGGGTTCAAATTTCTTATCTTAAAATGGAGAAAACAAGAGTGGCTACCTTTTCAGGGGGCTATTGTCAGGATTAAGTAAATTCACATATATAAAGTATTTAAGAGTGCTTACCACATGGTAAATGACCTATAAATGTCAAACTTTTTTCGTTTTTAGAGCGGGAGGGAGAGAGAATACGTACACGCACAGGGCTGGGAGGGGAGCAGAGGGAGAGGGAGAGTGAGAATCTCAAGCAGACTTCCCACTGAGTGCAGAGCCCTTATGTGGGGCTCAATCTCAGGAGTCTGAGATCATGACCTGAGCTGAAATCAAGAGTCCAGCACTTCACCCACCAAGCTACCCAGGGCACTTTGATAAATGCCCTAAAAATGTTAGCTATTCACATTCTTTCCGGGGAAGTCTCAACATCTTATTTCAACTACAATCTTTATCTCAACTTGCTTACTCTCTCCTGAACACCAACTCTCCAGCTACTTAAAAACAAACAAACAAACACTAACAGCAAAACACCACCCTCTCCAGCTGGATACATTCAGTAAAGGACACTGCTCTATGAACTCACTCATCCAAGGCAGACCTGGGACTCACTGTTAGACATCCCTCTCTCTCACCCTCAATATCTAACCTTTCACCTTCCCTGCAGACAGTTTCCTCAATACCTGCTGAAATCATCCCTTCCTCTTTAACCACACTTCCCCTCTTACTACAGGCCTTCCTCACTTCTTGCAGGATTACTTGAGTAGCTTCTGACCAGCTTCAGGAAACCTCAGCCCTTTGATCCATCCCCAACTGCTACAGGGATTTATTAAAGCAAAAATCTAAGAGCAGGTGTGAGAGCTCACTAAGATGAGTTTTTTTTTTTTTTAACTTTTTTATATTTTCAAAATACAATCTTTAAATTTCAATTAAAAAATGAGAGAAGAGAGGCACCTGGCTGGCTCAGTTGGTAGAGCACTCAACTCCTCATCTCAGGGTCATGAGCTCAAGATCCACATTGGGTCTAGAGCTTACTTAAAAAAAAAAAAAAAAAAAAAGATTTAAAAAAACTAAAGCTTTAAAAAAAAATAAATAAAATTTTCAAAAATAAAAACAAAAAATGAGAGAAGAAACTCAAGTGTTTCCCTGATCAGTTGTGGTTGCAGGGGGAGAACAACAGGAGAAAAGACTGCAAAAGAGCACAAAGAAATTTTGGGGAGAGAGAAACATGTTCATTTTTTTTTACTGTGGTGATAGCTTCTCAAATGTCTATCTATGTTAACAGTTATCGAATTGTGTAATTAAAGAAGGACAACTTACTGTATGTCAATTATTAACTTTAAAAATTTAAATAAAAAAAGAATGTATCAAAAAACCTTTAAAAAATAAACATTTTCGCCCTAAAAACAGAAGCGTTGACATAGATGCCATCTAGAGCATGAGAGATGATGCCAAGTAGTATATATGCATCACTATCACAGACTACCTGAGTATCTCCAGCACAAGTCACAAAAGATCAGGGACTGGGTAACCTTGTCCTAGAATCCAGTCTCCAGGGCCAGGCACAAACTGGGGACCACAGGAAATCGGCCCAAACCCTGGGCTGCTATCAGTTCACATTAGGTTGCACAGCATTCAAACCCCCCTCAGTGCGCATGTGCAGCTTACCTTACCTACCCCCTACCCATCACACATCTCCTACCTTAGCCCACTTGCAAGACTCAGGGTCTCACCCTATAGAAGTACCTTAGTGGATTATAGGTGTTAAGAACAACTGGAGAATGAAGATTGGGTTGTTTTCAACTTGAAAACTATTTGAAAAATAAATAAATAATATTTGGAAAAAACCCTATTAAAAATAAATTTTCCCTTGCTTAAAATATTTCAAAGGTTCCCCTCTGCCTCAGGATAAAACTCTAATCCTAACCATGAAACACAAGGCCCTGACTCCTCTCCTGCCATTTTCCCATTAAGTATCCCTGAGTCAAGCCAAAGATTCATGTACAGTTCTTGGTTGTCTGGCATTAGTAGCATAAGCTAATGCGTCCTTTCTGCGCTCTCTCTCCCATTCTCTAATACTCTCATTTAGTTCAGGCATCTCTCCCTGATGGAGGCTTATCCTCAAGCTGGGTTAGGTGTGTCTCTTACTCTGCTCCTGTAGTACCTGGTACAGTCTTTTCTCACAGCATTTCTTTTTTTTTTTTTTTTTAAGATTTTATTTATTTGACAGAGAGAGAGATCACAAGCAGAGAGGCAGAGAGAGAGAGAGAGAGAGAGAGAGGAGGAAGCAGGCTCCCTGCCTAGCAGAGAGCCCGATGTGGGACTCGATCCCAGAACCCTGAGATCAGGACCTGAGCTGAAGGCAGAGGCTTAACCCACTGAGCCACCCAGGCAGCCCCCTCACAGCATTTCAAGTACTGTATTATTTGTTCTCTTTTTTGCCTCTCCTAATTAGATTATACACTTGAGAGAAAGGTTTATGTTTTTCATCCTCAGTCCCTTGGATAGTTCCTAGAATGTAGTAAACTCTCAAAACAGTTGCTAAAGTAAAAGGAAGGGAAGAAAAGCACTTAAATGTCACCTGTATCAACTGATTTTCTGATCAGTCCTATCAAAATTTTAAGAAAATCTGAGGCTCAGAGAAATTAGATGACTTGCTCAAGGTCACACTCATAGTAAGTACTGGAGCCAAGCTTTCGACCGAGGCTCTTCAGACTCCTGGACAGGTAGATATCCTGTATTTATGAATTCCTCAGCACCTAACCAAGATGCCTCTTCAGAATAGGTTATCAATAAATATCTGCTGCTTTCATGTTTACTGCCACTTTCTACTAGTCCATGGCTTTGTCATGCAGCACACTGTATCATATAAGAGGACTTTATAAACAATCACAGTATAAAGTGAAAGTGATTTTAAACCCTAAAAAAGTGAAAGGACTTTCCTTACCTAAACTTGCTTTTTATCTAAAAAGATGAACAGAAAGGAATAAATAGAAAAAAATCTGACTAACAGAAGCCAGTTAGGCAATTTCAATGGATGCTACCACCTAAGAATAAACCTGCAACAGTCCACACACTCAGGGACAAGAATATTTAATATATCTGGGGCAGCCAATAACTTCCAAGACAAATCAAGGTGTTCATTTCAGATGTACAGCCCAATAAACTTTTCATCTTTTTCCTGACATATCCACCTTAAAAACTAAGTAAGGACATCCTAGTTGCCATTTCCAACAGTTCTCAAATCTGAATCAATTTCTGTCCTGCATCAACAAGTACTTCACCAAATGAATCTTTCTGTAAGTTAAATGAGCTACTATTCTTCAAAGACTTACTGATCAGCAATAGAGAGTACTGCACTTTGCTAGGCTGACAAGAAATACAAGAGGTAAAACTGCAGTCCTTGCAAACCATATATAAGATTAAAAGTTAGGTGTAAATAGCAACTCACAAGACAGCCAGAGGCAGGAATGGAAAGTGTCTGCTCTAAAAAACAGATTTTTTTTAGAGCAGAAAGTGTCTGCTCTAAAAAAACAATTTTTGGAAGATTCCCTAAAATTATAAACCCTCCCATCCCTCAGTGATTAGTAACTAAGCTCTGTATCTTCCTAACCTTTTCCTGCGGCCACGTTCTTTCTCCTTGAATTCCCAGATGTCAGAGTATGCTAGAAGAATAAGGACTGAATCACAAGGGCAGTAGTTTCCCATAAGGGTGCTAAGTCTAGGGGCACCTAGGTGGCTCAAATGTTAAGAGGCTGCCTTCGGCTCAGGTCATGATCCCAGGGTCCTGGGATCCAGCGCTTATCTGGCTCCCTGCTCTGAGGGAAGTCCGCTTCTCCCTCTCCCACTCCCCTGGCTTGTATTCCCTCTCTCTCTTTCGGTCAAATAAATTAAATAAAAATCTTAAAAAAAAAAAAAAACTGCTAAGAAGTCTAGTAATCCTTCCTTCCTTCCTTCAACAAATATTTCTTGGACACCTATGATGTGCCATACACTGTGCTGGGCAGTCAGAACGACAGATAGGAGCCCGGTTTCGTGCAGCTTTCAACCTAACAACCTATAATAGTATTCCACTTAACTGTACAGTTACGAATCGTCTCACTGATCTCGGAAACAAAACCCAGAGAACCTCAGAAACCAAAAGGACTGCAGATTAACCTCGTTTTTCCCATCAGGACACCGAGACCCGAAAGTGACTCCCCCAAGGTCACACTGGGCATCAGTGACAGAACAGAAACTAGAACCCAGGTCTCAAGACACTCCAATCAGTGCCCCCACGTGCTGCCTCTCCCGGCGGGAAAGCGGTCGCATGAGATGACTAAAAAAGCAAACTTCGCCAAAATTAGGTCCTATGTCATTCTCTTCCTCCTCCAAAGAGGGGGACGTCACAGCCAAACAGAGGATAGGGGGAAGTAGGACGCTGCCTCAGTCTCCCCACTAAGAAGGCGGCCGCGTAGCCTCGCTGCCGCACAAACTCCCCTCCTGCACTTTCCTCCAGTTTCTCCCGCCCTGCCCTCTCCGACTCCAACCCTGGGGCCCAGAGGGCGACCGCAGCAAATTACTCCTTCACTCACAAGGACTCGCACCAGCAACGCCATGTTCCTGTACAACCATTTCCGGGTAAAGGGTGGCCTTCCGGAGTCCCCGAGGCCCCCACCCCTCGCCAATGTTGTTCTTTTGCCGGCGGGTGCCCGGCAACGGCGGCGCAAGCGTACAGAGGCCGCAGCTCTCACGAGCGCGCGCTTTTCTTAACTGAGCGCGAGGCTGCCTCTCCGGGCGCGCGCCTCCCGGTCTCTCCAGTCTTCACCCCCACGACACGTCACAGAGGCTCAAGTCCTCTCCGCAGCACCTGTCCTCCTTGACCAGTGGCCTCAGGCTTTTCACAGCTGCCTCCTTATCCGCCCCGCTTCACTCAGCCTCATTCCTCAGCGCCCCGTCGTCCGAACTTTTCCAGACTCTACCTTGACGGGAATCCCTCCCCTTTATCAGTGGGGGAACTGATGGGGTGGGGGGGAGGACTTTGGGAGATCCCAACATTTTAAGGACTCCCTAAAAAAAGAGCCTGAGATGAAGTTGTAGAGGAACACAGAAGAGTGTTCAGCTGAGTCCTGAAAGTCAGGGGAAGAGGGCCATCATGGGCTGACCTGAGGCCTGAAGAGAACTGTTGGGGTTTCTGGCGGGTGGATGGTTTCATGAGAATATCTTTTGCCTATTGATAGGAAATGATTGTAAAGGTGAAGATACGGAAGAAAAAATCAAGAATTCAAGGAGTTTCTTGAGGAGGTGGGAGAGAATGGCCTTGGCTGGAGGACCCCTTCCATTGTATCCCAAGAGCAGTAGAGGAGGAAAGGTGGGGGTGGATGCTCCCCGGGGTTGACTGAGAGCAGAGGGACAGGATGTCCAAGGACTTCCTTCTTGTCATTCAGCTAGCAAAGATGAATGTTCACTATGTGCTGGTTACAGGACAGGTGTGGATAATGGCTTTGTGCAGGTCCTAGACTGCTGGAGGAGGCATGCAAAAGTCTAGTAAACCAATGAAAAAATAAAGTAATTAAGACTTATTAAAAAATTATGGTAAGTGCTTTGAAGGAAACAACCGAGCTAAACTTGAGAATAACGTGGGAAATTATACTTTAGCTAGTATGACCAGGTAAGGCCTCTCTGAGGAGGTGGCATGTAAGCTGAGACCCAAAGGGTGAAAAGAAGCTGGCCATGCCAAGTTACTTTGAACATGCTATTTTCTCAGCAAGTCTTGGGGGATGAGAAAGGGAAAGAAGATTTGAGGAGAGTTCTGAAATGGGAAAGAATAAGGGTTTATTTAAAGCATCCAAAGAATTGGGTATTTATACCCAAAAAACAAAAACACTAATTCAAAAACATTATTTATAGTAGCCAACATATGGAAGCCACCTAAGTGTCTATCCATAGGTGAATGGATAAAGAAAATGTGGTGTGTGTATATATATATACACAAAAATATGTTACTCAGCCGTAAAAAAGAATGAAATCTTGCCATTTTTGACAACATGGATAGAACTAGGGAATATCATGAAAAGTGAAAAAAGTCAGAGAAAAACAAATACCATATAATTTCACTTATATGTGGAATCTAAAAACAAAACAAATAAATAAAAAAGCAGAAACAGTCTCATAAATACAGAAAACTGGTAGTTGCCAGAGGTGGGATGATGGATAAAATAGGTGAAGGGAATTAAGAGGTACAAACTCTGAGTTATGAAATAATTCACAGAGATGAAAAGTACAGCATAGAGATTTAATACTATTGTAATAACTTTGTGTGGTGACAGATGGTAACTACACTGATCGTGGTAAGCTCTGAGTAATGCATAGAGTTGCCAAATCGCTATGCTGTATACCTGAAACCAATATAACAGTGTGTGTCAACTATACTTAAATTGGGAAAGGAAAAAAAAAAAGAACCCAAAGAAAACCAGTGTGGCAGGGCTCCTGGGTGGCTCAGTGCAGGTTATATCTCAGGATCATGGGATCAAGCCCCGCATAGGGCTCTCTGCTCACTGGAGAGCCTGCTTCCCTTCCTCTCTCTCTGCCTACTTGTGATCTCTGTCAAATAAATAAAATCTTTTAAAAAAAGAAAAAAGAAAACCAGTGTGGCATTGAAATTAATCTGAATTAATTTAAAGAGATAATTAAGATAGGCAGAAGCTTGGGCACCTGGGTGGCTCAGTGGGTTAAAGCCTCTGCCTTCAGCTCAGGTCATGATCCCAGAGTCCTGGGATCGAGCAGAGAGCCTGCTTCCCCCCCTCTCTCTGCCTGCCTCTCTGCCTACTTGTGATCTCTATCTGACTTGTGATCTCTATCTGACTTGTGATCTCTGTCTGTGAAATAAAATCTTTAAAAAAAAAAAAAAAAGATGGGCAGAAGCTAACTTGTGCAAGGACTACTAGATGAAGTCTGTATTTTATTCTAAGTATAGTTGGAAGCCATTAGAGGATATTAAGCAGGGGACAACTAACTGGCCCATGTTTAAGAAGCTGATGTTGAGGGGTGTCTGGGTGGCTCAGTGGGTTGGGCCTCTGCCTTCAGCTCAGTTCCTGGTCTCAGGGTCCTGGGATCTAGCCCCACATTGGGCTCTCTGTTTGACAAGGAGCCTGCTTCCCTTCCTCTCTCTCTGCCTGCTTCTCTGCCTACTTGTGATCTCTCTCTGTCAAATAAATAAATAAAATCTTTAAAAAAAAAAAAAAAGAAGCTGATGTTGACATAGATGGATCAGAGAGTTAAATGTGAAAATGGAAGACCAGTTAGTAGGCTAATAGTATTCAAACACTAATGATTTTCGTACGTGAATTTAGTTTTGTTTTTATACAGAATAGAAAGATTTCCTTCATCAGTCTTCCATATAAAGGATTTTATAAGCCAAAGTGAAGATGCTTTCTGATTTCGAGTCTATAGCTTATATATGTATTATTGAAAAACAATGGTATAGTGCTCCTACATGTACCTTAGGACATGTGGTATCACATATTAAAAAGAGACAAGAGGGGGGCACCTGGGTGGCTCAGTGGGTTAAGCCTCTGCCTTCAGCTCAGGTCATGATCTCAGGGTCCTGGGATCGGGCCCCACATCGGGCTTTCTGCTCAGCAGGGAGCCTGCTTCCCCCTCCCTCTCTGCCTGCCTTTCTGCTTACTTGTGACCTCTGTCAAAAAAAAAAAAAAAAAAAAAAAAAACCTTGAAAGAAAAAAAGAGAGACAAGAGGGATGCCTGGGTGGTTCAGTCGGATAAGCAACCTGAAACCAATTTGATTTCAGCTCAGATCATGATCTCAGGGTTGTGAGATCGAATCCCACATTGGACTCCATGCTCAGTGAGGACTCTGCTTGAGATTTTCTCTCCCTCTCCCTCTACCCCTCCCCCCACTCACTTCTGCAAGTGTGTGTGCATGCTCTCTCTCAAATAAATAAATAAAATCTTTTTTTTTTAAAAGAGATAAGAGAGACATTCTTGTTATTCAGATTCAAAAAGCAAATGTTAGGGGCACCTGGCTGGCTCAGTCAGAAGAATATATGACTCTTGATCTCAGGGTCGTGAGTTTCAGCCCCACTTTGGGTGTAGAGGTCACTAAAATAAATAAACTTAAAAAAAAAAGAGGTGCCTGCGTGGCTCAGTTGGCTGAGCATCTGCCTTTCGCTCAGCTCATGATCTTGGGGTCCTCAGATGGAGCCCTGCATCAGGTTTCTTTCTCAGCAGGAGGTCTGCTTCTCTCTTTCTCTCCATCTCCTTCTACCCCTCCCCATTCCTCATTCTCTCCCTCTCTCAAATAAATAAATAAAATATTTTTTTAAATGTAATACAAAAGCTTTGCAAATAGGCCAATAAATAATTCACACAAAAGATGATGACCTAAGATGTTGGGCACAAGAGGAAAAAAAAAGATTGATATTTAATTTCCTTTCTGATTATTTCTATTTTCTCTGTGAACTAAGGGCTCCAAGAGATATCCCACTCAGAGGAATGCAGATGGCATGGAGACTATGGAAAAGTGGAGAGAGTTTAAAGTTCAATAGAGAACAAAAGAAAAAGGGGCCAGTTGAAACATGGAGGATCTAGTTGAAGTTGGTAAATCTTCATTTTTAAAATTTTAATTTACTAATTAGTTTTAAATTAAAAGGTGATGCATGATCACATTCTCTTCTAAAACTTAGCATGTTAGGGTGCCTGGGTGGCTCAGTGGGTTAAAGCCTCTGCCTTCGACTCAGGTCATGATACCAGAGTCCTGGGATCGAGCCCCGAGTCCGCTCTCTGCTCAGCGGGGAGCCTGCTTCCTCCTCTCTCTCTCTGCCTGCCTCTCTGCCTACTTGTGATCTCTCTCTCTATCAAATAAATAAATTTTTTAAAAAATCTTAAAAAAAAATAAAAAATAAAACTTAGCATGTTACAGATAAATCTAAAGTTCCATTTACCTGTGCCTTGCATCCCAATTCTTTCCACCCTCTCTAAAATTGAATTTCCTTCTAGATATTTTGTATTGTTTTCACATACATATACACATTCCTTCAGAAAATATATCACTCTGGCTGGTGTGGGTTTTCTTTCTTTCTTTCCTTCTTTTTTTTTTTTAAATTAATTGATGACATTCTTATGTTTTATTTTGCTTCTTCCTTTTCTTCACTCAAGTATGTTGCTCTCTATAGATCCAGTTCAGGTCTTTCTAATTGCTGTTCTATCATATAATATGGTTGACAGATGTTTGTTTCCTTTTTGTTCTTATTGTTTCTATGACCAGTGTTTCCATGAATATTCTTGTGCATTTAAGACCAAAACTTTTAATAGCACCAATTACCTCTTTTTTTCTTCAAAATCATTTGCCAGCTTGGAATTAGCAGAGGAGAGAGCTGATACTTGGATTTATTAAAGGATTATGGTTTTTCCTTGTCATGGAATGGATGTCATCAGCACAAAGAAAGTGATGATATTGTTAAGAAAGAGGTTCAAAGGGTAGGCCAGGAAATCTGTATGGTAAAAGATTTAAAGAAAGGAAGAAGCTGTTAAGAAAGTGGCCTAAGTAAAGGAGAGGTAGAAATCCCTGGGGAAGAGGTCTTCAAAGAATTGAGGGCCCACGTTTCAGGAGAGTCATCTATATAGACATTTAGGTTACCTCAGATGGTGGCTGGATTTGGAATGAAGAGGCATATT